CGTGCGTCTGTGTGTGTCTGTGTGTGTGCGTGCGTCTGTGTGTCTGTGTCTGTGTGTGTGTGTGTCTGTGTGTATTCAGATGTAACCCCCTTTGTAATCATTATCATTTTCATAAGTAACTAATTTAATTACAATTTTTTACAATAACTGTAACAGATTACAGTTACATTTATTTTGTAATTAAATTACGTAATTCCGTTACATGTAACTAACACTACAAAAGACACATGTATTTTTAAAATCTCATTTAAAACTCTCGAGACTGGATAAATTAAATAAATAACTTTAAAGAAACTTGTTTAACTTTATTGGTGAGACAATATTTACTAGGTAACCTCCGTTCAATTTGATTATACAGTGAATTTCAAAATAGTTTGCATTTGGGTAACAATGTTTTTTATTTATTTTTTATTTTGTAGCGCTATTTTTATTTTTTTACAGAATTCAACAGCAAGTTCTTGACATATTTCTCACATTTACACATTTTGTAAGTACAAATTCAAACACAATTTAAATAAAATAATAATTAAAAAAAAAACAGAACTTAAAAGAGAAAGAAATGTATTTCTGCATTTTGATTTGCACGCTCCGGTCCGTCTGCTCGTGACGTGACGTCACATCATTACCGGAAGGTCCTCGCGCTCCTCCTCCGTTCACTCCCTGGCGAAGATGGCGGACGGCGAGAATAAACGGGCCGGCGCCGCCGAGCCGCTTCCGAAGCGACCGAGACTCCTGGATCCGCCCGGTGACCCGGAGCACAGCGCGGCTGGCGGAACCGAGCCGGTGGAGGCGGAACCGGCGCTGAGGACCGAGTCCCATCAGGCCTCACTGAACAACAACAACCACCTCGCCGAACCCGAGCTCTCCGGTACGAGCGCCTTTAGCGCTTTAGTTCGCTTAATGCTTATTTTGGGAGATTTTAAAATTGATTTCTCTCATGCTGAGCCCACAGTCAGGTTTACTCTATGTTCACTCAGTTTTACCCTGTTTTTACATTTGTGGGGTCTGTATTATTTTTTAATATAATAGCAACTTAAAATTTTTTTTTTTTTTTAATGGTTTTATTTTTATTATTTATTTAGTTTGTATGCAACTTCAATATTTATTTAATTATTTAACTATTCAGTTAATTATTATTATTATTATCTGTGGAGTTTAAATAATTATTTAATACTATAAAAACTTGTTTTAAAATGTTTTTTTATATTTTATATGTAGGTGTTCATTATTATTAAATATTATTTTGTTATTATTATTTAGATTGTAAGGTTTTATTGATTAGTGGAATTTATTATTTTACATAATTTAAATATTTAATCTTGTAATTATAAGTATTAATTATCTAATAACTTATTTAGTTTTTAATTGTTTTTATATTTAAGTGTTTATAATTATTGTTATTATTTAATAATGTAATTATTAAATATATTTTATTATTGTTATTTTTATTTATGTAATTTAATTATAATTAAATTGTATTTAAAATTGCAATTAAATTCTATTTTATTTTATTATTGTTATTTATTACATATTATTTACTTACTCAGTTATTACATGTTATTATTAATATTGTTGTATTTAGTTTTTGAGAGCATGTCTCAATTCTGTCACTGCTTTGACTTGTCTTGTCAACTTCATAAATATTTCATGCTTTCTTATTACATTTATTTACATTTATTTAGTCACTGTAATAATGCATTCTTCTATTTTCGTAATAATTGGTTAATAATTTTCATATTTATAAAACAGCATGCTGATGATGAATGAAGCTGTAACCCCTGCACTGATCAACACATAGTATTGTACTACCTTGTTTATTTATTAAAATACATTTTCTTCAAAGAAATATAAAATAAGTGATGTATAGAATTAAATTTGCACAAAACTATTATTCTAAGCACTAAGCCAAAGAAAGCGCACAAAATAAGCATCTAGTGTAGTGGAATACAGTTGTATTATGCTGCTATTGTTGCTGTTATTGTGTTTTTGTGTGGTTTGCATGCAGACTTAATTGAGGAGGGTGTGCATCCCAATGGTTTCACGTCACCTGATCTTCTTCGTGATGATGATGATGATGATGACTGCTCGTCTCGCGCCAGCTCCAGTGACTGGACCCCTCAACCACAGATTGGTAAGATCAGCTAGTTTTATCCTCAGTTGTCTGCTGTAGAAGTGTGTGTTTTGTGAATTAACCCCTTTAGTGCCACCGGCCCACAGGTGGGCCCAATGGCGCTCTTTTTTTTTTTTTCTTCTTTTTTCTCTATCACATCTTTTAGTAATCATCATAAAGCTTAAAACCTCAGAATTCATCCATTTTTAAATCAAACATTGCTTTACCATGGAAATGGTACTTTAAAATCTTTTAGCGGACTCCTCCCCTTAGTGGGCGGAGTCAAGTGTCATATTACAAAATGTATTACGCTCTTTTAGAATCAAAAGTTTTTATAATCTTGACAAAATACGTATCTTTGGAAAGGTCTGAGTCTCAAGATTCCATATTTTTTGATAGAAGTAATATTGACAGAGAAATTTAGACCTTCGTGAAAGAAAAATGCATCAACAAAAATACTACAGAGTTTGGATGCCACCCGGTGGCTGTTTGTGGTATAACGCCCTAAATAAAATCTCACAGGAATCTCAATTTTTTTATATCAACTTCAAATTTGGAACATAACTTATTTAGACATAAGGCTTTAATTTTGCATCAATTTTGGATTCAAAAATATTTTGTAAAAAATGTACTTTATACAAAATAAAAAAATTGGTACAGTGTATTTTCTTTACAGTAAATTTAAACTTCTATAACTTTTTGATACTTTAATATTTTGAAATGATTCCAGTAATCTGCAGATTGTCTTCTTAAAAACGAGTCCAACCTTAGGTCTGCATTAGGCCTGGGCGATAAAACGGTATTGATATTTATCGACGGTACACCTTCTTCGATAACGATATAAAAAACGTCCGATATAGTGCACGATATAGGCACGTGCTATGAGTGACGCAGACAGCACACACAAAAAAGAACACATGCTGAATTGAGTGCTGTGCCTGCATGTGATGAGGAGATTGTGAATAAAAAAATTTATATTAGTAGAATTTAAAATAAACATTAGCATTTGAATGCAAAAATAGTACAATCGAATGTTAGGAGTGCGTCAGGGGGCGTCATCAGTGGAGCACGAGATGCAGTGATAATGATGTAAGTGACGATGTTGCATTTTGATGTTTTGTTAGTCTAGCCCATGAGATGTGCCGCTGCTGTGTTATGCATTCAAAATATTAAGAGAAATATAGAAGCTCAATGCGGAGAAGATCTTGATTAGGTGAAAACCAAAACCAAAGCCATTCACACAGATGCATATTCAGCACATTTTTTAGACGGAGAAATATGACTGCTGCACTCGCGTCTCACACACGAGATGTAGCCATGCAAAGTTAAAACAGTTTAAACTTTTAGAAAACACGTCGTGAATTTGTG